AACCCCCAACTTGAAACTATACCGCAGAGCTACTGTGATAAAAACAGTATGGTACTGGCAAAGAAACAGACCAGAGGACCAGTGGAACAGATTAGAAGATACAGCAGCAACTCCAGACACACAACTCCACCTCCTCTTTGACAAAGAAGCCAAACACCCTCACTGGAGGAAAGATAGCCTCTTCAATAAATGGTGCTGGAAAAATTGGGTTTCAACTTGTCAAAGAGTAAAACTAGATCTGTATCTCTCACCATGCACTAAACTAAAATGGAAATGGATTAAAGATCTAAATATTAAAACACAAACTGTGAACCAGCTGAAAAACAGGTTAGGTAGAACTCTTGAAGACATTGGTGTAGGAAAAGATTTTGTGAACAAAACCTCAGTTGCACAAACAATCAACAAGTGGGATCTGTTCATATTAGAAAGCTTCTGCACAGCAAGAGAAACCACCAACAGTGTGAAGAGACAACCCACAGAATGGGATCCTGCTTTGCCAATGTAGTTAGTTAAATTAACATAGAATCACACTATTTTCAGGAAGCCCCTAAATGCAGTGACAGTGTCCTTATAAGAACATAAGCCCAACAAGTGGGATCTCTTCTTACTAAAAAGCTTCTGCACAGCAAGAGAAACCACGAGCAGTGTGAAGAGACAACCCACAATGTGGGAAAAAATTTTCACCATCTGTCCCTCAGACAAAGGTCTACTATCTAGAATCTAGAAAGAACTTAAAAAAATCAGACCTCCTAAATTTAAATACCCAATCCAAAAATGGGCATCTGAAATGAACAGTCATTTCTCAGACAAAGAAGTGGAAATAGCAAATAAACATAGGAGAAAATGTTCAACATCACTGATCATTTGAGAGATGCAAATGAAAACAACGCTGAGATTCTGCCTCACCCCAAAAAGAATGGCTGCTATAATGAAATCAACCAATAACAAATGCTGGCATGGTTATGGGGAAAGAGGAGCAATGGTCCACTGCTGTTGGGTATGTAGACTCGTGCAACCACTGCGGAAATTAGTATGGAGATACCTCAAAGAATTAGGACTAGAGTTCCCATTTCACCCAGCTATTCCATTGCTGGGTATCTTCCCCAAAGAATTTAAAGAATCATATCACAGTGATATATGTGCACCCATGTTCATAGCAGCACAATCTGTGATAGTTAAAACTTGGAAGCAACCCAATTGCCCATCAATGGGATACCGGATATAGAAAATGTGTGTGTGTTTTAAAAATAAAATGGAGTACTATTCAGCCATGCAAAGTGAAAAATTAGAGACATTTATAGCTAAGTGGATGCACATTGAGGTGATACCCCTAAGTGAAATAAATAGGGTACACATGTGTAAATACAGAATAGTTTCTCTAGTGTGAGAAACTGAAAGTGTAAATAAGGACTAAAAGTTATAATAG